TCATGAAAAGTTGTGCAGTGCACTTAAAGTTTTGTTTGTAGTTATGTTGTTATTTTGTGATATTGATTTCATGGATGTTGATGAGGAGGTGTGCCTTTTCCACACATACACATACAATTTAAGGTCTTTCCCAGCATTCTGCAAGAAGGGGCATCTGAGAGAGAGAGAGAGCGAGAGAGAGACTGTAATCCTGACTAATTCGCTTAGTGTAGTGCTGAGGGGGGCAGGACAGTAAGAGGATTGGGGCATTCTCTAAATTAGATCAGTAAAAATAAACTGCAAGGGGACTGGAAGATGTAGGTAGGGGGCACAAACACAGGTAAAGTTTATAATGGGAAAACAAAAATACAGGAAAAAATATGGACAACTATCTGAGCCGAACTCAAAATGTACTGCAGCCACTTCGGGCAGTTCTGCTTATACCAGAGTAAAAATTACAAGCATGAATCTTTCACCTTTGCCTGAATCCCACCTTCAGCCGTAACTGTAATACTATCCAAACTCTTACTGTAACCCTGACCCTAATTCTAACAACACGCAACAGTGACTTCACCCGCATAATGAAATCCTAACCCTAAAAAATCACATAAATCATAATCATTCAATTCACTAACCATGCTTTGAGTCATTTTTTTTATAAATCAATAACCAAGTAAAATATGTCATATTATTGTAACAGTGGATACATTCATTCTGTAAACTACTGCCATAAAATATAAATTTGCAGCCTAATCTACTCATTCACTTGACCGGAATGAGCCATGACTCTCAATCCAGCACCATCTTATGTTTTCTCAAACTCCCCCTTGGTATAACTTTCATCCATCCATCCATCCATCCATCCATCACCACTCATCCAGAACCACAGTGGTCCTGGTGCCTGCTGTGTGGCATAAGCTACAGCCTCCACCCATAACCCTACACTGGACTGATGGACTGATTGGTAGATGGATGTGAACTTACTTATATCTGATCAATCACAGCATAGATAATAATTTCCTTCTACCCATCCATCCATTTTCTGTAATCGTTTATCCTATTCATGGTCTCAGGGGGTTGAGAGCCTATGCCAGAGGCTACAGGCACAAGGCAGAGAACAACCCAGGATGGAGCACCTATCATAGGGCACACTCACACACAAACCTATGGGCAATTTGGTAACTGTGGGCTTTGTTTTGGATTATGGGGAGAAACCCCACAAAGACATGGGGGACTTGTGTCACGTCAGGCTGGACAAAGGATGTGGGAGTATGTGTGGTTAACCAACAATTAGGGGTTTTATTTAACTCAAATGAACAATAACTAAAAATAAACAGGATCTGACCAGGAGGAACAGAGGAAAGCAGGGAACTCACAACATGTCAGAATGACGTTCATGACTGGACTGGGAAGCACTTAATGACTAATGAGGGAGCAAACAAGAGACAGCTGGGAGTGATGAACATGAGGGTTAGGAATGAAAGGTAAGACACATGAGCCACAGGTGTGTGCTATGTTAGGGAGGGGCAAATTGGCAGGGTGTGACAACATGGAACCATGAACCCTGGTATCACAACAGTGCTGACCACTGCACCACCTGAATTAATTTTCTATGATGATAACTGTTTTAATGAAAGAACATGATCTATTAGCTAGAATGACATAGCTCTCTCTGTGTTCTGTTTGTGATATAAATACATTTTTAAAAGAGTTATAACAGCTTACATTTAGAGATTTGAATACTCATTTAATGTACTTCTGCTTGTGCATCATAAGGGCTGGGAAACTGGGATTAGGAGGAAGTGGGAATGGGGGCCAGTCTCCCTGGTTGGCCCTACTGATGATTGCAGCATTTACAGAAACAGACGGACGGTCAGATTGTTTCCAGGGGATTAGGGAAAAGAAATGAATCATATTTTATGTCCTGAGTATATCTTTGTCTCCAGTCCTGTCTCTGAGGTTTAAAGTCCATATGTTGGACTCAGGGATTACTGAGCACGTCAGAGGGACTGTGCTGCTGTTTCTTGTACTTTGGCCTCTTCACGCGCCCTCTGCCGCTTTTCAGCATGACTGCGTATTTTTCGCGTCTAGAAAGTCGAGCATTTATCCCATAGGAATATTTTAATAGAAAACAAAAGCAGCGTTTGTGCCCCGTTTTGACACAGACAAATAAAGCCACATTATTCAATTATATTAGAATACGGATTACTTTGATGTTTCTCTACTTCTTCGAAATTTTCATTTGTGGAAGCTGAATGAAAGAAACGAGTCATTCTAGAACGTAACTAAGTGAAACCATTAAATGTAGACGACGCAAGAAATGTTCACATAAACAAGCAAAGTAATGTGAACTGATTGGAGGACGCTTCAAATACTGCGACAGACACCGATTGCTTGCATAATTTTCCAATATGAAGTTAAACTATATATAAAATACAAAGAATCTCCATGAAAAGAGCAGTTCGATTGCTGCTATCAAAAGGGATCATTTTTGCATAATTTTTGAGCTACGGCTAATACAAGATGCAACGCTGGAGCTGCTGCAGATGAAATACTCTTAGTTAGTAAAATATATTTTCTAATTTCACGTCGCTCTCCTATAGTGAGAATCACCGATTCCTAATAAAATGTGTTCTTTAAAAGAAGCCGAATCGTGACTCCATCGTGTTCCAATCATTTCAGAATTAATGAAAAATTTTAATGCTGGTTTATACAAATCGCCCAAGTTGGGTTGGCACGAAGACCGAAGTCCCACACCGATGGAACGGGGAACATGTTGTCAGCACAACACAAGAGGCCACATGAAAACGTGCTGTTTCGATAAGATAAACACAATTCTGACCAGTGCGATGGAGTGCAAGGCAGGACGACCGTCCGTGATAAGCAGATTTAGTCAGGCGGAGAAAAGACCAGAACGCTCAATTTATGCTTGTTGTCAGTCACACATACCTCATGCCACGCCCCCTTCCCACGTGCATAATAGGTATATAACAAGGGGCCGCAGGTTCCTGTGTTTCTGTCACTTGCTTTAGTTGGAGAATCAGTGTTTAAGTTTCTAGCCACCTAACTACTAGTTAAGCTTTAGCTGAGTTTTAATATATGTGCCTATTAAAAACATTGTTACTTTATACTGCATTGTAAGTTGTAACAATAGGTCCCATTGCTTTTAGCACCTGTTCCTCTAATTAATCCTATTATTACCATATTCCCCCCAATATCATGCCAATGCAAACTGGTATAGTAAAACTAAAATGAGAAAATAATTTAATGATTGAAAAGTCATACAAAGCTCGTCACCTGTTGTCACTATCTTTATTGGATAAACCCCTGAGTTTGAAGAACAATTCAGAAAAGAAGATTAGAAACCAGAAAAAAACTGAAAAATAAATTGGCAGGGTTCTAGACATTAAGAAGTTCAGTTACTGTGGTGTCAGTCTGTGTAACATGTTAGTTCCAGACATGATTGTATTTTTCAAGTAAAGTTTAATATTTACAAAACAAAAATAAATCAATGGTCATAATAATAGTGTTAGAAACAATATTAATAGTAAATAATTATAACAATATTTAGACAAATTGACAATTTTCGCCAAATAACTCACAATTTAAAGTAACACAAACTAAATCTAATAAATAAGATTAAATAATGCATAAACACAAAATATTCACCACACACTCATTTGCCAGTGGTCACTGAGGAAAACCACACACTTCCTGTGCAAAGGACGAGGCCATATCACCCCCTTACCTTTCTTTTGTCTTTCATGTCACAAAAATAGAAAGGAAAATCATATGATCATATAGTGCTCAACAGCGGGGTTAGTTAAGTCATTAAGCAGTCAATTGCAAACAGGTCCTGAAATAAAACACAGGACCTTGGATAGAGTATGTCTAGAGTCCTCCATGGTATCCGGTTCTCATAGCTAAACCTAGGGTCCTTTTTGTCTTGTGTTTTCAGAATATATCCTCTCTGCAAAGTCCATGCATTTGGCTCAGAGCTACCTCAGTTCAAACAAGCAGCTTAACTGTAACAACATAGCAGAAAATGACAAGAGACACCAATTTAAATCAGACTGAAAAATACTATAATTTGAAAACAGAATCAAAAAGAAGTGATACTGTGATCAGTCTACAAATAATGTGAAATAAAGAACAGCTAGTCCTTATTAATGCAGTAATCTCAGCCTCACCATTTTCCACATTATGTCACATCATGCATATGCCAGAAAAATTCTATTCTATTCATCTAGCACGATAAGAATAGTTTTTGGAGAATAATCACTCAAGCATTTAATTCAACGCAGTAATGTAATTTTCATATAAAACAGAGCTTCTTAAGTTTTCATTTCATTTTCCTAATAGCCTTTTGAGTTGTTTGTTTGTTGTTCTTGAATTCATACAAATGACTATTCTTGATTTAAAAAAAAAAAAATCACGTAGAATCATGTAGAAACTTCTTGATCCAGGATCACCAGGATTGACCTACATATTACAGCAATTATTTATTTTTACTAATACTGCTCATTAAAAATAACACATACATGCAATTAATAAATCTAAAACAACTTTTAAATTAATTTTTGCTTTCCTTTAGCATTCATGTCTTGGGATTGTTCTATGCAAGCCAAATAAATAGATCTGCAAAATTTTCACATTTTTGGTTCCTTTTACATTTACCTCCACCTATGAATGTTGATTCCACTGCTGTGTAACACCTAGCTGCAAAAACCTAATACTCATTGTCGATTATGCATTTTTCCAATGACAAAAGAACAATTTGACAAAGGTCAGTGTTGAGTTACGTGGTCAAGTTGGTCTTTCTAATTATTGTTACAAATCAAACATTCAGTCATTAAAGATGATTTTAATACTCATATTGATTACACATGGAAAAGAATGATGTTGACCACTATATTCATTGTAAAATGGTGCCATACTGAATTGATTGAAACACCTTTGCCAGTCTTACACTTAAAAAAAAAAAAAACACTATTCTGTTCTCTTTCCCTGCAGCCCCTGTTCTACAAGACTTGGAACTTCCAGGAGTTCTGGTCCTTGTAGTCCAGGCAGTCTGCTGCATTGAAGTTGAGTTTCCAGGAGGCAGTTTGGTCCTTGTAGTCGAGGCAGTCAACGGCACCGAAGCCCAGTGAGGCTGCAGTGTAGCCCTGGGAGGACAGGGAGGCTGGAGACTGACTGAGAGGGCCCCCCATGGATGAGGCAGTGATGGGGCTCAGTGCCCCCCCAGTGGCAGACAGCTGTGGGTGCATGGGTGAGAGGTAGGAGCTGCAGTCCAGGCCAGTGAAGTAGGAGGAGGAGCCAGCATAGCTCTGGCTGTAGGCGGGAGCCTGGGTGTAGGTCATGGGATAGGCAGTGGAACGCTGCATGCAGGGTGTAGTTGAGGCCGACAGTGGATCAGGCAGTGGAGAGATGGATGCTGGGCTCCAAATAGACACTGTGGCGCTAGCACTGCTGGAGCTAGGGGTGATAGCAGTTCCTGGTGGGGGCGGAACTGGACTGTAGGGCCCGCTGGTGTTAGCGCTGGGCTCAGAGTTGGCCTCCCGGGCTGGAGATGCCTTCTTCTTGGGTGGACGGGGTTTGACCTGGCCACTGCTCTGCTGCTGCTGTTGGCGGCACTTGGCACGGCGGTTCTTGAACCACACCTGGAGGCGGGAGAGAATATTACTGAACATCGTCCAATAGCTGGGAAAGAAAAGCACATTAAACTCCCTGAAATGCAATATCTTTACATGTTATTGATGATAGAACCTCAGTTCAATGTGTAACGCTAAATTCATTCAGTCATTTTTTGCGCGGTAACTGCAGTGAGCCTGTTTTGCCAGAGGTGGCAGCATGTCTCTCGTCACCTGTACTCGAGACTCAGGCAGGTTGATTTTGAGGGCCACCTCCTCCCTCATGAAGATGTCAGGGTAGCGCGTCTTGGCAAACAGAGCCTCCAGGATGTCTAGCTGAGCACGGGTGAAGGTAGTCCGCTCTCTGCGCTGCTTCCGTGGGGTATCTGGAAGATATGATGGTTCCCTTACACCAGACACCTTTTATACTCATTTATATCTCATTCCAATTCAGCTGGAAGGTTGATGGATAAATGGATGGATGGATGGATGGGAGTTTCTTTTTGGTTTAATAAAGAGGAGTGTCCACTGCTGAGTTATACCATCAAACAAAATTATAGTGGCACTGTACCAGATCTTTATTTTGTTCGCACTAATATCATGCAGTAAACACAGTGCTCGAGAACATTCCTAGACATCATTATGTGATCTTAAGAAAACAGGGTTTATCCACATATTGCAGTGTTTCATTTTGCCCCAGTTAAATAAAACAAACTTACGTGAACTGCATTCTGATTAAATAATATCCATATAATATTCGGTATAACGTAAGATAGGCTACAATGTAACAAATAACGGATAATCGCTATCTTAAAAAACATTAGGTGTAGCTTTATATATAGGCATAAGTGATGGATAAATGTGAATGGAAATCGAAATAGGTAAATCTGTAACTTGTTTGGTTTTGGAACGGCATTGAGATCCGCTCCTTCCTGGGACAAAGTGCGGCGCTTGACTAAAATTTTTGTATTTTTGTATTTAGTTCAGTTCCAGTTTATTTTTTACCACACATACTTTGAATATCTAAGGAACTGAAGGGTCCCATGAAGATGAATGGATGGATGGCAGAGAAATTGCCGAAAATTATTTTCGTCTCGATATCAACACAAAATACCAAAAGTTATTTAAAATTGTACACAATATTTCACGGAATACAGTGTGGGTTTCCCATATTAATTTACAAAAAAAATCTTTCAAAAAGAGACGTCGGAAATGTATGGTGCATTGTTATTCTGTACTTATATATTCAGTCTCGTTTATAATGACTGGGACGTATTCCAGTTTTTCTTCAGTCGGAACCGAAAATTTGCTTGACCATTGTTTCTTTCTAAACTATAGTTAGACTGGAATACTTTTCCCTTCACTAACGCATGCAGTGTCTAGTCTCCATATTCCCTATCCTCGTGTAAGACACAAACACGCCCACACAAGCGCACACAAATATTCCCCCATGCACACACAAACACATAAACACATTAACTCGGTGTTGAGGTTTCCTAGATCGGCCATTTAACTTGCTTTATCCGTATTAAAATATACTGTTACCATTTCGAAACATGTAACACATTGCAAATTATCCTAAGATCAAATTTGCATTTCGAAAACGATGCAACATTTCAAGTGTCTTTCGGTGTTGATCTAACATCTCATCCTGACAAGTGGTTTCCTTGATCAAAATTCGTGATTACGCTGCATCACACGTGTCTCGATCAAATGAAATGAATTTGAAGCGCTCCACAATCCACACCAGCTTATTTATAATATTTTAGTACGCAAAATCTATGTTTCATAACCAAAAGCCTGTTCCAATCGTGTTGTTGTACGTAATTAAAATAACGCTCGTGATAAAAATATTCGAACAAAAATGTAGACTTACTTGGGTAGCCAACAGCTGAGTGTAGCAGGTCCATACCCGGGCCGGACAGAGTTAACCCGTTCACGGCGTAATGAGGCTGCTTAATGTAGGACATCATGACTGTGCCGGCTATAAACGCGCTCTCTCTCTCGTTCTCTCTCTCCCCCCTCTCTCTCACACTTGCGTCGGGGGCCGGATCTTCCTTCTGTTTTCTGGGGGGAGTATTTCAGTCTTTAGTTTTCACTCTTTGAGTTTTATTTTTGTTGTTTTGTTTTCCAGTCGCTTCCGTTTTGCTCTCTAAAGTTTACAGTCCGACGCTGGAGCTCCCGAGTCCAGAATGCAGCTGAAAAGTTCCGATGTCCCTTGTGGTGCGTTTGACACCTGTAGATGCAGGTGTTCGATTAGTTGACTGAGATGTATCGTTTTTTATTTAGCGTACAAATACAAATATTCTCTAACCTACTACGTCAGGCTAATTATCGATGCGGTTACGATTACGCAAATATACGCATATTTGCACTCTGAGTTGCGCTCCTACAATCAAGTGCGCATCCCCGCTAAAAAAAAGAAAAGAGAGAACAAATGCGCTTCCCTCTCACCGTGATCTATTTGTTGTTTGTCCAGTTGTGCTCGACACTCTGTCGCTAGAAGCACCTTAAGACGTTCTTCCTTCAGCTAGTGACGGTGAGTCGAGGTGACACTGCTGTACTGAGCGCAGCAAGACGGGAGCTGGCTAATTAGAGACAAGTCGGTACCGAGAGGAGACAATAACTCCTCCTCCTTTCCCTCGCTCCTCTCTCTCTCTCCTATTTTTTTCCAAACAGGACCCCCCCCCCCCCGATTACACACACGTAGTATGGCACACTTGTAACCAGAGTGAGACGAGTTAGACATATCTAACTCTTAATAGTTCGTTGCTTAACAAATAAGTACCGACTATTTTAAAAAAACTAAACTATCCCCTTACAGAAATAAAACAGCTGCCAAAGCGAAATAGACTGGTCGACTCATACAGGCCTAGTTATTTCGCAGTTTGTAGATCAATTTCGTTTATTTGACTTTTCGACTTCTGGTAGTCACAGAAAAATTAGTTTAAAAATAATCAGTTAGTCAGTGATTGGTTTCTTTAATACTAATTACATGTTTATGTTCTAATTTTCTCGCAGGACATACGCCTACAGTCTAATTCCATCCATATACTGCAATATTTATTGAGGGGGAGGTTTTAGTGCAAGTATTCAGTCATTATATGTTGCTATCTATTTAATTGTAAGGTTAGGTCTCTGTATACAATGTTGTACATACTATCAGGATATTATGTATCCAAAGTACAATGCTTTCACACTGAAACATTACAAAACGTTTATATTGTGAAAAAACATTCATTAAAAATTACCTAAATTACCTAAAAATAAATCGTTTCCAAAAATAAGTTTCTTGCCGTAAATGTTTACAGTTAATAGTAACATACATTTAGACTAAGCATGAATATAGGTTTATATATATATATACACACACACACAAATCAAATTCTTCCTTTTCATTCTCCCAAGCCTTTTATTGCGAGTTTCCGTGGTTCTATTTAAACTGGTCTTTTAACCATACTTACCTATACCGAAAATTGGCATTTGATGCATGTTTATTAGCGACGAGTGGACAGCAACAAGATCATAATTAAATATAAATTAAAACGTTAAATTGACTTCGGCCACACGTATATAATCATAGGCCATACACCGTTTAGTTATTAAACAAATCTTATCACTTTATGCCTTTAAAGTTTAACGACTGAACAGAAAAAATAATGTATCAAATATACACGGCGTGATAACGAAGGGCAATGTTATAGCCTGAATGTCTTCTGCGGTTTGGAAATAACTCCTTTAATTAATTGCACCCTGCTTTAAAAATGCAGAAATAATTGCCTGGGAGACAATGTGCGAGAGCCTACTGGATTAGAAGAACACAAAGGCTCCGTTGTTTGGGATAAAATCCCTGACTGATCCGCTGCATTGGCGCCCCGAGCCCAAACCTTCTGTCGTTCTATACATAATAATAGTAATAATAATAATAATAATAATAATAATAATAATAATAATAATAAATAATTGTAATAATAATTATTATATTTATTATTTCGTTTTATTGCGCTGTGGCATTTTGAAGGAGCTCACTTTTGTTGCATCCCAGTCTCCTCTTAGTCTCCTAACCGCCACTTTTAACCACAGATGAAACAAAACAGAAGTTTAAAAAAACAAATATTTTTCCTTATTATTAACCAAAACAAAACAACACTAATAATTATTATTATTATTGTAACCATAGGCTATATTTTCGGCCGTCGCGAACAAATGTAGCCTTTTCGGCCGTGCGATCGTCCTCTTCTGGCCGTGCACTTGTTCGCTGCTACCCCTGCGAACAGGCCATTTCACGGTATCTAAAGCCGATTCTCTGCGCTTGTTAATTGAATCGGATTTCTTATAGTTTAAAATCCACGCAGACCCATGTACAGCCCAAACTGTATAAGGGGTTTATCGGAATCTGTAAAGCCAAGGCGGAGATATAAAGAGAGAGAGGCTGCGGCTTGTATTTGAACATTTTAAATCTCAAATAAATATCTTTACCTGTGGCGTCTGCCGGTGTGAGCAGAATATATGTTGTGTCATGAGCACATGTTTGCTTTGGAGTACCTGTTGCGTATTACTGCTACTCGCTACGGTACAGCTACCAGGTACGGTATTTGTGTGCAGGCTTTTCCTTCTAGTAACGTCGGTGCTGTACTTTGGGGTTTCTTTACTTCTTAGTCGGGGAAGAACGAGAGGAAGAAGAGCGATGACCGTGACAAAGGTGGGCGGCTCGGAAACTAGGCATTCAAAGACGCGCGCACGCGCGCGCGAGCACATTCAGACGGGTTGTGCTCGTACTCATGCTCAGACGCAACATATTTATTTGTTTGCTCTTTTGTTTATGTTAATTGTTCTGTTAAGACATTTTTGTTTTAACGTTTTGGATATACAGTTATATTTATATTCACACAAGTCCTTAAATTACTAATATTGTACTCTTAATATTTAGTTTTAGGCCTGTATGCATTGCCATTAATTCATTATTAAAGTGACAGGATTTTTTTTCATTACCACACAGTAAAAATGAATTACGTGAGTTACTAAATTAGTAATTAACATTACATTTCCATCTTAAATTTTCCTATATTTTACGGCCGATTAACATAAGCATATTTCTCTAATGTTCTGTGATTTTTTTTTAAATATAACAAATTAAATAGAGAGAATAAAGAAAATAAACAGCGCAAGCAAGAAGGGATAATTTAGCTAATCGTTTTTGGTTTCTAATATTAAGCTTTACATCTTTAAGATAATTCTTATTTATACGAGCACAGGAATGCATTACTCCTTGTAGAGACGTTTCATGTAAGTTATATTTTCTGTCGTCCAACAATTGCAAATCTGTATTAAATATGAAATATATTTTGCATTATTATTTTGTTTTTCAAAATGTGTGTATTATATCTGATTATAACAATTCAAATGTCTTGTTTGTTATTTTTAGTTCGGGTTTAATGTACGGTACATTATGTACCCAAGGTCTCAGAAATTTTTAAAATCGAAAAATTTAATTTATTTGTTGCGTGATTTCATAGGCGATGTTTGATGTTTGCACTTGCATTGGGGTAAAAAAAAGACGCATCTTGTTGTCCTCTTGTGTTAACGCAAAGATCTGATCCACACGTAACATATTATTTTGTCTGCCTATATGGTAACAGCATACTACTTATGCATAGGTGCAAAGTGCCAGCTTACAGCACAATTATAATCTCACAACATTATCGATTTACTGATAATTACAGTAAACAACTACATCCAAATAACTGACCAAAACAAACTGCTAAGTCCGTGCACAATACCTTCTCTTAGTTAGCCAGTAAAAATATTTAAAGCGTAATTTACCTATAATACAAAATAAGTCGACATAGATAAGGGTCTCTGGGGACTCTGTCCATGCGTGTTTTTATGACATGTAGATTTTCAAATAATCAAATGTTTAATAATATTCTACAGTTTTCGGTTTAAAAAAAAGAACCTTTAACGCGATTGAAAGAATGCATGTCTAAGCCGTCAAGTAAGTAAAAATGAAACATTTACAATGTAGTATTCGGTGCTAAAATGCTGTGTATCAGTCGGGTTCATGACGTCCATTTGCTTCAGTTTACCGACTTTGTAATCGGTATTTGATGTTATAAACGATATTAACTCATGAAAATGACACGGCAGCGCTTGCCACAGCAGGGAATTGCGCTGTTGAATGGAGTGTGCAATCTTCACTGGTCCACTACGTAAGCAGTGTGCACAAACTTATACTGACGTCACTGGTGGGACTTCTATATATGGCTTGTATTATAATGACAAAAATATTTAGGCCTAATGTATGCATCCCTTCAAACTGAAGGGAATGTAGACAACAGTACAGGGATTTCAGATCAATTTGTTTCGACTGGGGCTGCACTATATGCAATTCAGTTTAGTGACACTGGGACCCAGTTTTCAATCAAATCAAGGACATGGCAAGCAAATAAGAGGCTTTACTGTATCTAATCTCACATAAACACACAAGCACAGGGTCTGAAAAACACACAGACGAGCTAGATGAAAACACACAATCTAATACAGACACCTGCTGTTTCACTGCGTTCTCTATTCAGGCAAACATATTACCAGAACAAATAATTCTGTTTCTTGGATCAAAGTTCTTTAAAAAAAAACTGCACAAAATCTTTATTTTATCACGATGATAATTAGTCCCATGAGAAAAATAACCTTCTGCTTTTTATTTATGTGTGTACAGATTTCAGATATATGTTCTTGGAAGCCAATGGGCAATGCTGAAGAATTTTAGGAGGTGGGATTCAGTGTCTTGGAATGACTGAGTCACCGTAGAACACCAGAAGTCTGTGGTTATGTTCAAGGGTGCAGTAGGGGCATGGATACCAGGGTAGATTCGAGGGCGTGGGGTCCCAGCACTTTACAGGGGTCCTTTAATATGTACAATTATGGGTATGCTGAAACATTAAGAGTTCCCTTCACTGGAACTAAGGGGCCC